GAAAAATCTCCAATTATCATTGAACATTATTTTTTACTCACTAATATTTATTTGCTTTTCTACTTTCATTTGCTGTGCGAAATTCGCCTATGTACGTTAGCACAATGAGTGTATGATCAATAGTCAATTACATAGTTGGTGTTCTATAACCAAGTATTACGTCAGGACATTTTTCAGTTTTGATATCACCTTATTCCATACCGTATCAAAAACTGATTGCGCTTTTGCGTTGGAAACAGTAGAAAGTTGAACAATGAATAGATAATCAATGAACCACAATGTGTTGAATGGAAACCTGTAGCCACTCATGTCAGTCGCTAACTCCTAGTGTGGGAATGGAGTACCCACACTAGGATTGGCAAAAGGCGAGAAAGGGTAACAGCCCGACTGACGAGATCGCAAGATCGAAACACGTGTATCGGGCTCTATAAGTCAGCTTTCTCCAATATACCACTGTCATGCGTGGCTCAAAAAATGATTACCGTTACAAACTTCAACGTTCAAAAAAACCTACTTGCTAGAATTTTGGAAAACACATTCGCCTTCAATTTTTAAGCACAAACCGATCTTATATGCGGTCATTACTGTTGTTATTTAAACCGTTTTCTTAGGAACAATGAGCAATAAAAATTACTGAATGATGTTGTTTACGTGTAAATTGAGAACGAACAGGTAATCACCAGTCAACCTCTGAAGCAAGCTGCTTAGCGCATCAATACAGAGAGCCACAATGTCAACGAAGGAGTTCACAAGTCATCGTAACTAACAAATCTGAACAGTGAAAAGATCATCACGTTACTTTGAAGCCAGTTTCAAATCTAGGTAACCAAGTTTTGAGAGCATGGTAAATTGTTACGAGAAATTTTGATGACCATCTTCTCTGTATCGACTTTGTGTCAAGTCATAGCGCCCCATAGTTCAAAAGAGACAAACATGTTTGTAAATGATTCGTCTGGTTTGCCTATTTACACAGTTTCCACGATCTCTCCAACACCTTAATCCCCACTCCATGCAGTCTACTTCAATCCCTGTTTTTTCGCACATCTTCTGTTCTTAGGAATCGTATGGATGAGTGCTTACTTGCTATCGACTAACCACAGATTTTCTATACTATAGTTCAGTCCGCATCAGAGGTGAAGGAGCAATAGTGTATTCTGCCTCTGAAGTGAGGCTACCGTTTCCATCTCTTTGGTGGCGCAGCCACATTTTAGTCTTCATCCGTAGTGAGGCAGCCGTGTTGTTATCTGCCTTTGTGATAAAGGTGCCCAGTTCTAGTTTGTTCCCTAAGCGAAACTGCGATGCCATGTGTGGTCAGCCTCTGGAGTGAGGGTGAGTCTCTTTGGTGAGGGAGTCGCGTTATAATCTGTTTTGGAGATGAGAGTGCCCAGTCGCCTTTCGGAGATAAGCGTGACGGATCTTCATTTGCCTCCTAAGTGGGCGGCCGCCTTCGAGTCTATTTCCGCGTTGAGGGCACCGTGTCATCTATCTCTGAGGTAAGACTGCGCCATCTCTTTTGTTTGATGAGGAAAGCCACGATATGACCTGCTCCTGAATGAAGCTGCCGTGCTCTAGTCCGTTTCTACGATGAGGGAGCCGCTCCCAAGTTTGTTCCTGAGATGTGATGCCTCTTTGGCGAGGCAGCCACGTTACGTCTCTTTCTGAGGTGAGACGGCCACGTTCTAGTCTGCTCCTTAGGCAAGAGTTTCGTTCCCTGGTCTACGTTTTTGTTGAAGCGGTCTAATTTCAGTCCTTTCCTGAGGCGAGATTGTTGAGCAGATGAGGATGATTAATGTTAGTCAAAAAAAAACTTTCAGCTATCGTTCGGGAGGTCTTCCAAGAGATCGCCTGCATTTTCCTAAAGTCCACTCAACTTAGTCTACAGTTAGGATCAAGGAATAAAGGACAAAATCTCGTCGTTGATCGTTTTCCGAGGATGAGCCACGCATTCGTTTTAAATCTTGTACTTCGTCTAAAGGGATTGAACACATGTCTGGCCCTTTAACAATGACTTTCAGAAGCCTACCGCTGTATTGAGCTCGTGTTCCCTAACATCTCAGACAAGTCCGAAGCCAGTCTGGTACCAATTCCCGACATCGTAGTGATGGATGGCTTGGTGAGCCACGAGCGCGAGGCCCATCGGCATTGTGTGCTAGGCGGAGCACCCCTAATCACTGCACCACAGGCGCTCCTTAGAGTCAAAATTTTTGATAGGAAATGAATGACAGTTTGAAAAAGAAAATATTATACGGATTTTCGTAGATAGCAAGTGACGTCTGCTCGATAATTTGCGTTACTTTGGATGGTGATATTGAGAGTTGGAAGAGCAACTGCTTTCAAATTCAGCATGTCATAGTTGGAAACTATTTAGTTACTAATCCAAATATTGGAATTGTAACATGCTTTGCTCCAGAACAGAACTTCGATTCTACTTTGTATCCTGATGGTTTATGCTCTTTTATCACGCTGCGCGCTTATTTACATATCCCAGCAGATGTCTGCCGAATGTACTTTTGATAAAGTGGCGTGAGTTCTCAAAACAGCCACCCACCAAACCTAATGTATAACATGCAGATTAGGCTCTCCATTATCTGACAACCGACGGTCAGTGAAGTGATATTGGAACAGGACATTGTTTGAAAAGCAGTTCTTCACTATACTTCGTATTGATTAGCTAAAACGAGCTTTTTATAAATCTTTGTTATCATTACGTCTAAGCTTTCGACAATTTCTCCTTCACCAGAGCCACGATGACCTAATCGAGAGTCCGCTGCGGTTTTCTTACGATATTAATCCTCGTTGCTGCTTCATCGAGACGAATTAAGCAGATTGGATAGCTGCATGAATAAAGTAAAGTTTTCAGCATTGCCCTTTCACACGGAACTCCAGCCATGTTGAAGAACATCCAGCGGCAGTTCTCCATGATACAGGAAGTGCTTAGACATCTTGCGATATACGATGGCCACCTGTTTGATCTGACAGTAGGATCACCAAGATTTTCGCCATATCAGAGTACTGTGTTGGTTTCAGACATGCCTGTGAGGATATTGGAATGACACTGCATCGCTCCCCATAGCAAGTTTCTCCATAGGCTAGATATGCACTCAAATCACCCTAGCTATGCTTATTGAGAATGGATGCGTGGTGCCTTTTTTGAGGATTGATCAATTGCAAATTCTTCCATTACTGTGAAATTATTATAGTTGAACTAGTACTATGTGACTGAATTTTAGCAAGGCAAATTGGACAACGACTTAATATTTCAAAAAGCTAACATTTATGATGCGACTAGAGCCCTTGCTTTGCCTCTTTCGACGAGACGACGCAAGTGTTTGATTGGATAAATGTCAATGAACTTCACTTTTTTTTGTGATTGAGAAAAAAACAAAATCTGACAAAAAAAGTGTCTAAACTGAAGTAAATATACAGATGAACCACATGCAAAAATCTAATACTGACATTAGACTTCTCTGGAAAGCCTCAAATCCAACAATAAGAACACAACATCACTATACCAGAAGTTCAAGTGAACCCATCAAGTACTCGAAAACATTTCTGTAGTATATTCAAATGAGCGTTAGAAGTCTAGGTGAGGTTGCTACGTCAGGGCCATTCACGCGTGTTTCGGAGGTCTCGCTTTCCTCGTCAGTGACCTACCCTCACATTAACCCCTGCATTGTAGCAAGGAAGGAGGCGTACGTGGTGACGGTAAGGTGCACAATGACACTGCGCCATCACCACTTCTCAGTTGATGGATCTCGGCTGGCAGAATAAAATTGATACATGTCATCTACTGTTCAAGAAAACACCGCCCAAGCAAGCGTGTATGGCCCTGGCGTGCCAACCTCGCTTAAGCTTTGAACATTCTTTTTGAAATTATTTCGAATGTTTATTGCGAGCTTTCAAAACAGACGATGCCATGGGTCGATTTCTGAAGTTTTTTCTTCTGTTTAGGCGTTCCGAGGTGTTATTAATATTATTCATTGACTACTAGCAAATTATGCAATAATACAGTTAGTAATGCAGTATGAATTTACAATATTCGAGGTGGCTAACGTTTCTGCTGATCGCCTTCTTTAGAGCCTGGTAAGATCATACTGATCCGCAATCCATTGAGACAAAACCTGCATAACCCTGGCAGAAAACGTTGTAAATAAATTCTTGATCGCATAGTAAAAGCTTTATCCTGTAACACTCATTGTTTTGATGTTTTGAGTCTATCAGTTTTTTATTGAAGACCAGCCGCTTAGGGTCAGCGTGTCAAGGAACTGTGTCTAACTCAGGCCGGAAAGATCAGCCTGAGGTATTTTTCGAGGTGACGCGTGACTAGAGGCACTCCTCTTTTCGGTTCATTTTTGGGCCTTAGCTGTGTATCAGAAGTTTTCTAACGTCTTATGCGCAGATGTCTTTGACTCGTGTGCGAGGATCGTGAATTTGAGGCCGAACATTACTAATGCATGTTTTTGGTCCCTATGCGTGCCTAGTGGGGTTTTGGATCAAAGTTCTGTAACCCAACTAGGTGCTCTTTTACACGGAGGAATAGTGGTCTAGCTGCTTTGCCAATGCACTCATTTTCGCATACCTTGCAAAAATTTAGGTAAATTGTACCCGATCTCATGCATTCGCCGTTTCTGTCGTTTGGGCAAACTTCGTAGTCACTGGTTTCGCAGAGGCGATCATACAGCCGTTTGCGGACTAATTTGCGTTTTACTGTTCTTGGGGTGCTTCGATTATACCTATTAGTAGAGTGATGAACCCGCCCCCCACTCTTTGTGGGAGCGCGTACTCTATCCGTTACACTTAAGCACCAATTGGTATATTGGAGACATCATACCACCACTAGAAGCGGTTGAACAAGAAGGATTTTATTTAATCTTTAATACCGAATATCTGTCAGCGTAACTGGCTTCAATGCCGAGACCGAGTACCTGGGTCAGGCCGTTGACGGCTGGCGGTTAACAGATAGATGCGCTGAAGCGTAAAAAGATTGGTGTGCAAAATGAGCGTCAGTAGTGTAACGGGTAGAGCACGCGCTCTTGAAAAGAGTGAGGTGCGGGTTCCAGTCCCGTTGAAGCGAAAGTTCTGCCTACATCAATGGGTATATTTGAAACATCATACCACTGCTAGAAGCGGTTGAACAAAAAGGATTTCATTTGGTATTTCAAATTGCTACCGGATTATCGAAATCTGCCCTTTTTTAGGTAGCGCTTAATAGCTGTGCTAACTTCGCTAGATGAAAGGAAGGAGGAAATGAGTCTTACCTTCGTCAGAATTGTCGTTTGGGAGCATAGAATTTTTTCCAAATCTATCCTGAGAATCTCCTACCGTATCGTAGCTATTAGAGATGGCTATTTTTCGCACCAAACTTGGAGATTCTACCTAATGTTCTCTTCCTGTGAACGCATTTGTCGCCGTTCGGAATATGTTCTTCAGAAACGCGCGTTTTATGTGTGAAGGATGAGCGGATAGGTAATGAACCAATGTGTTTTTCTTTGCTTGGTTTTCGGTTCTATTTTATATTGTGGATGTTTTTAGACAGGTTGACCTGAATGTTCAAAAATGAGAGCCAGGTTGCTTTCGGTTTCTCATGGGTAAACCTTATGTACTACCAGTATTGACTGTTCAGCAATTCAAAAACATTTGTCCATCTCCTGTTGGGTTGAGCAGATGGCAAAGCAGGCATCTATATACCTATAGTAGAGTGACGGCCGGAAATCGATTATTGAGCTCTCCACTTTCAACATAAAGGCCATGGCAAGGATTGGCGCTAGCTCTGATTTGGGCAAAATAGTTCGAGCACGATCTAAAGATTGAACAATTTAGGCACTGTTTTAAGAGAGTCATAACCTGCCGGAACGAGAAGCCATTCATGTTAGCGGTCCTTTCGTGCTCCGTTAGACGCTCGTACACTGCTTGCATTGGGGACTTCTCGGCACGTTTGTATAAAAGGCGGTTACGTCGAAGGATTCCTTTACGTACGCGTTGTTGGGTGGCGCGTTACATGAATTGTTTAGAAGTATTTGGGTGTTGATGAGATAAACTGGAATGTGTTTTAGCAACTGGACTAGCATTAGGTTGAAGAACCACGTTATCCTATCCGCTGGCCCGCCTACGCAGCTGATGATAGGTCTAACTTGAATTTTGATGGGTTAGTAGACAGAAGATCATTAGTGCATACGAATTTATCAATTTCAATAAGTAAGCATGAGACGATACATGATGGTGGATTAAGTTCTAGTTTAGAGATAACGAAAAGTTCTAAACCAGCCTAACCTGCTATTTTTATCCATTCTTGGTACAATTTTCTATAATGTCTTTGGAATTCCTTATCAGATGATGGGCGATAAAGTGTGGTGTCTTCAAGATGTGTTTTCTATCGTAATATCCTACTGATTGGGAAATATTGCAAACCCTACAACCTTGTCACTAACTGATAGTCTCATTGTTTTAGAATTTATTAGCTCTCGCACCTGCCGCATGCTGCTTTTCTGCGCTGATGTTAGGTTATAAGTAAACATTTTTCCACGGTAGTGGTTAAGGATTCTGAGAGTTTCCTTTAGAGTATGCGAAAATTGATATCCACCTTGTTATTGGGGCCATGTTTCCTAAGAAACGCTCGAAGATAAGGTGATGTTGGTATTGTTCCTACGGTTTCTTGCTCGTGCCTGCTGCATGATTCTTGTCTGGACTTATACCAGATTCGGTCTCGAAGTTTTGCAAACTGAATGTGATACTACGCAGAGTTCCCTTAGAGAATGATTGCGCTGGTGAGAAAATTGGGCTCATTTCCAAGATTGAGCGCACATATCGAGAAGATTCATACCTCTTAACACGGTGACGCTTGATTGATCAAGAACGCACCACCGCCTCGTTCATCCACACTACTTTTGATAAATGGCATTACTTGCCACTGCATCTCCGTTGATGGATCGTTGTGAAGTACTCAAAAAACGGGTTCCTATGTTAAGTAAGTTTTGTTACCACATTGCGAAGCTTCTTTTCCTGTTCCAAGTTAAAGTGTATCTTTCAATCGAATGCAAGCATCAGTTGAAGCTAAAACTTGAAACCAGAAAGTCTTCTTTTCTAAGCATTTGCCTCAAAAACATCGTTCAGATGTTGTGTTTCGGTTTCGTGTTCGCCAAATGATGATTTTCGCTTCACAACGAGAGCAGGTGATTGCTGTTAGGCGGATTCAGCCGATGTCTATGCTTATTGAGCCGAACAATGATGACGCCAAACCTCATTTTTCAATCGACCTGAGAATCATCGATGGAGAGACATTGCTGCTCGATATATGCAAAAATACAGCGGAAAATACCAATTTGCTTCACATTGTGATCTCACGCTGCATGACGCTCAGAGTTATACAAATGGTCAAATATTCTTTGCATTTGTTGACGCGCATTTTCATGCGTCAACATCAGAAGAATTTGCCCATCACTTCACAGATATGCGTTCAGAACGCTAGAATTTGAGCTTGTATCTTCAAAGCACTTCACTCATGACTTCGCAAGATAAAAAGAAATTATAGAGGTATGTCTTCATAAGTATTCCCTCACTTCAGTATTGGGAAAGGCAGAACTCAGACTCATTTCCCATTTGTTAGCAAGAGTTTTCGTCACAAGTGATAAAATATTACGCTTGTTCAATAAAAAAAATGCTAGCAATCATTCAGAAGCATAAATCTCTGGCTGCGCAATATGTGGCCGCTATTTTAAAAAGTCTATTTATGAAGCAAATCTTCTGAAAAATCTTGTCCTGCGGAAAGTATCGGCTTTTTGTTTGTCGCGGTCTGACATACAAGAACCAAACACCTTATGCGTAGTTTTGTATTGTAGTATCAGTACAGAGAACGCGTTTGTACGATGAAGAGACAAAAAAGTGTGCTAAGCTCACAAAGCATTTTTTCAAATTAGAGATAGGCAGTTGTATAAAGAACTGTGTCTGCTGCAGTTTCCTTCACAGTTGCAAATAAGGTGGGTCTTTCTCTTTCCTATGTTCATGACCATGTCGAAGTAATCAGCAACTTCTTAAGAAGTAATTTGCCAGTTACTAACTGTTTAGGCAAAAGCATCTAACTGGCAACAATCCGTCATTAAAGGCGCATCTGGCCGGTAATAAATTCATTAACTGAGATAGAAAAAAATTAGTGGAACTCAAGTATCTTCCAGCGTAATACTTCCTTACACTCAAATCATTTTTATTTGACCGCCAATTACGGTGTTATGATGTTTGAATATTCCCAGGGAGGTGGTCCAACGGTTAGCATACGCTCCCGGAAAAGTGAGATTTGGGTTTGAATCCCAGCTGACGCAAGCTTTCTGCACTCCACTCTTCGTTATTGGGCATATTGAAACTTCCTTGCAGTGAATAGTCTCCAAGGTTTGCTTTGGAACACACTTTGAGTAACTTCGCAGAGTTGGAGATTGTCCGAGAGATTATACCTTTCTTAGAACGAGTAGAAAAGTTTTAAGGCATTACTGTCACGCATAACATAATGCTTGAATAGACAGCTCAGATCTCAAATGTTACATCATCGTCTAGGTCTTCGACGGTAAACACCAATACCGAAACGTAGTGATATCGGCCATTTAACAGGAGGAACAAAGTATAAGTAGGCAAAATATTTGTAGCATGTACTTCACGAACATCAAGTGTCGCGGAGTGATGACCGCTTGATGACAAAGTGCTGGTACCAGCCACTACGGTATCTGCCTATTTCACGACATTTCATTGAATCACTTTTTGGACATTAATTACTATGCTCGCATAAGTGAACCGTCTTGGAGAGTGGTTTATTCACACAGATTTACTGCTTAAGCTAATATGATAGGTGCACAAGGAAAAACTTCAAACCTATCGACACAGAATGACAATAACGAGACTTCTGCTTAACTACACATAAGTAAGCATTTCTCAAATACGTATCAAACGAATTAATGACAGACTTAGAAGCTATATCACATGCTACAAATGCAGTTCAATGATATTTGCATAAGTATTGCATAAGTATCCAAAGAGATTGCATGAAGTCGCACACTCAAGGCATATGATCTATCCGTATAAATGAACAATTCCCAAAAAAAACTTGTCGAAATTAGTAATGACTGCGAGCTTCGATCAAAAACAGTACCGTTTCCAGAGGCAGTTACGTGTAGCACATGAATGGGAAGCATCTATGTCAAATAAGGCATCGTTTCCCTTAAAGTGCCTGAACAGACAACTTCGATATCTTAATCATCGGTTATAAAACAATGAGAACACTTGCTGGTCAATTGAGAAAAAGAACAAACGATTTCAACAATCGACGATCATTAATGAAGCTACTCCCACGTCAGCGATTGTGAATCTATCAGAATCGAAGAACATGTCTTTCGAGACTTCAGAATACTTTGACTCATTTCGACTTTGAACTTCAACTCGATATAAAGCTATGGAAATGGAGGGAGGAATGGCAAGTGACATGCCCCAAAAATCCAGCCTTCCATGAAGGTGCACCAGAAGGTATAACGATATTAACGAAGCACTGATGTGGTTAGAAGCAAGAGGCTCACAGAAACTAACAACGAGAAATAGTTATTTTAGAATGATGGAAACCTGTACTTCACTGCATTGTACAGTTTCCCGACACTAATATGGGTCAATTAACATTCAAACACGAAGATACAATCAACACAGAAACCATTGTCACTTACTCCAGGTGTTTGGTCGAGATACAGGTGAAACAGTAGTATCAATGAAAGAACTGTACAAAAAGAAACTTCCTAAGTTCCTCACAACAAAGCAATAAAAAGCACTACTCAAAAAGTACCTAACTGTCGGAGACTAATTCAAGCTCGTGACGTTTTCTTACTATGAGGTCGCTTGCGTTTACCCACTGATAGACAGACAGAAAAGGGTGTTTGGGGGCCTGCGTGTAGAAAGATTTTGACGTCAAGTTTTGATCCCAGATCAAAAGAATAGGCCCTGAAAAAGAAAATTCATAGAAGTCACTTATAGTATCAATCAGTTCTCCGATGTCTCTAAAGTTATTTACTCAGGAACTTCACCACATGGCAAAAGATGACGGTGGGCAA